TAGGAGAGTTGTCGTTCACATCTCGTACACCAATCAACACCTGAAGCAGTGAATTATCTTTATTGTCGAAGTGAGTGATATTTGGAGGGATTTTGAAACAATCGTTTGTCGCCTGAACTATAAGAGTATAGTTATCCTTGAATTCGCGGTCTAATGATTGAGTTGTCGTCAATTCATGTGTAAATGTATTCAATCGGAAGAGGTGTCCGCCATCGCCACCTACGATATGATAACATGGAATAGACTTAAAGCCAACCGCGGGGTCTATCAAGTCGTAATCATCTTTGTCTATTGTCGGCAATAACTTGTATTTTTCTATTTCTATGATAAACAATCATTTTTTAATTCATTTCAAAACTTTGTCAATACTATTAACACAAACAAATGATTGTACGGTATATGAAATGCATAATTACCCGGAAGAGTATTTTCTGTAAACACAACTTGGAAGACATCCTGAGTAAATTCAGGCTCAAAGTCATCGACATTTGCCACCAAAATAGTTAGATCTAAATCAGTGGACAGAGATGTGGGTTCACCCAAATCGTATGCCTGGACTCTCAATTCATGAACTCTTTGCGCCTCTCTATCCAATTGTTTGGCAACAGTTATAACACCCGTCACTTCATTTATGGCGAAAGATCTCCAGTGATTGTTTGGCAATTGTCTCAATTTATATCTGACAACAGCGTTCACACCCCAGTCCTCATCGGTGGCCATCACTTCTACAACAGTTGAACCAATGGTTGCGTTCTCTGGTATGCGAATCGTTATATTGGAGGGCGGCTTAACAAACATAGGGTTGTGATCGTTCACATCAGTCACACATATATGTATATTAGCTGTGGAGGAGAGTTGTGGTCGTCCGCCGTCTTCTGCCTTTACAGACAGCGTATAATTGCCGACTCGACCTCTCAATGACGACCGACTGATAAGTTTGCCCGCATTTGGCGGCGAGTGCTCGAAGTCAAACAGACGGTCTTTATTACCATCTATTATCGCAAAAACCACTTTTCCGTTTCCAGTATTTGCTATGAAGTCATTTGAATAATTAATTTTATAACTTATTTTAGTAATAATAGATAGTTATTGCATACCGTCGTCGCCATCAATAGCAGTGACAAAAGTAATCATATCTCTGATGGGATGAAACTCATTAACGATCGCACAATCACTTGTTTGGGCAACAATTGTCGGAATCTCGTCGTTAACATCAGTCACAGTGACTGCAATCGTATGAAATGCTTTAGCTGAAAGCGGCCATTCTTTGGGTATTAGTATCAATAGGTGGCGAACATGATTTTCAAACATAACTCTGTAGAGAAGGGCTAAATTATGTGGGCTTTGATGTTAACGTGGGATTTACTGTAAATGGTTATTTAGAATCAATTCATTATAGCAATCATTATGTAATAAATACCGTTTCTCTATCGATCTTAAATTTGCCGGACGTAGAGCTGGCGTCCAATAAATAAGTAATTTTGCCGAAAACACCGGAATCCTCGTCGCGAGCGCTAACCTGTGCTACAAGAGAGCCAATGGGCGCGTCCTCTGCTATCATAAATGCCTGTCTCTGTTCGCCGACAAACACAGGATTGTTGTCGTTCTCATCGAGAACTTGAATTGACAGCAGTGAGAGACCCGTAAGTGGGGGCTGACCCGTATCGGTCGCCTTTACGCAGTGCAAATAGGTTCTTATAGCAAGGGATAGATACGCAAGTCTTTGTCGGTGAAGAGGCCAGAACACTAATTAGAATTAATTAACATTGTTAAGAACAGCCGGAAGCTCACTTATTTATTGACTAATATTGGTGTCGGCGTCGTCTGCATACTGGCAGTTTTATCCTCAAGGCCGCTGTCGCAAGAGTCACTAATATGGCGCTATATTTACAACGTTTTTAACACCAGATAATAGCAATTGTAGATCATAAACATACCAATCATAAGGACATTTTATATATTAGGTTATAATTATATTTAATAAATTCAATTTTTAATGATTTCTCAAACCTTTAGCCTTTTGTCCTTTAGTTGCGGCCGCAATGTCTTCGACCACCAAATAGAGCTTAATTTGATCCCAAAGTTCTCTATTGAGGATCTTAACGACCCTAACGGTACCGTCCAATGGATTAATTGTAAAACTGTCCGCAAAGAGATTGTAGTCAACAGTGGCTCCAAACTCATTGCGAGCTTCACTTCGTGTATAATCAATGGAATATCGAAGAACTGGTTTGTCGTCCAAATCGGTGGCCAAAACTTTGGTCACAAAATGTTGATTTGGCGCGTCTTCGGGCACAACAGCCGTAGGAATTTCACCAAATTCTGGGGCCTTATTGTTGACATCAACTATAGTTGACCGTCAAAATAGGAGTTCCGGCGACAGCGTTCTCAGTGATTATACCGCGATATAAATGTTGCAAAAATTGTGGTCTATTATCGTTAACATCTAGTATTTGTATGGTTAGTATTCCTGTAAAATACGGTTATAATTATATTTAATAAATTCAATTTTTAATGATTTCTCAAACCTTTAGCCTTTTGTCCTTTAGTTGCGGCTGCAATGTCTTCGACCACCAAATAGAGCTTAATTTGATCCCAAAGTTCTCTGTTGAGGATCTTAACAACCCTAACGGTACCGTCCAATGGATTAATTGTAAAACTGTCCGCAAAGAGATTGTAGTCAACAGTGGCTCCAAACTCATTGCGAGCTTCACTTCGTGTATAATCAATGGAATATCGAAGCACTGGTTTGTCGTCCAAATCGGTGGCCAAAACTTTGGTCACAAAATGTTGATTTGGCGCGTCTTCGGGCACAACAGCCGTAGGAATTTCACCAAATTCTGGGGCCTTATTGTTGACATCAACTATAGTTATGTTGACGTTTGCGGTCGAAGATCGTTGTTCTGAACCAAAGCTTGAGTCCAATGCCATTATATGAATAAAATAATTGAGTTGTTTGGGATGTGATCGATCCGGATCTAGATTAGCGCCTGTGGCCACTGATATGACACCAGAGTTGGCATCAATTATAAATTTGTCAAAAGCGCCCGAAACTAATCGATAGTAAACTCTTGAATTGGTGGCCGAATGTGTGATCGATCCGGATCTAGATTAGCGCCTGTGGCCACTGATATGACACCAGAGTTGGCATCAATTATAAATTTGTCAAAAGCGCCCGAAACTAATCGATAGTAAACTCTTGAATTGGTGGCCGAATGGTCGCCGTCGAGGGCTGACACTTGTAATACCATCGAACCGTCGCGAATGTCTTCCGGTATTGATTTTGTGTACAAATTTTTGGTAAAAACCGGCGCAAAATCATTGCGATCGTAGACATAGACAATAAGCTGTGCGTCTGAATATAGATGAGGATCACCCAAATCAAAGGCCCGCACTGTTAGCGTTACATTTCGTGAATCGCCTAAAAGTGATCACAATTTATAGTTATTTGTTATTTTATAAAATTTAAATCTTTACTAACTTTTTGGACCCGGAATTGACTCGAAATCGAGAGGTTCTCGAATCCCTAATAGACCAGAACTTTCATCAATAGTAAAATTACTTGAGTATTGATTTAAAGTGTTTATATCGGGAGTGTTTGACAATATTTTGTATCTAATCTCTGAGTTCTTCGTTCCGATGGCGTCCTCATCAATGTGATCGATCCGGATCTAGATTAGCGCCTGTGGCCACTGATATGACACCAGAGTTGGCATCAATTATAAATTTGTCAAAAGCGCCCGAAACTAATCGATAGTAAACTCTTGAATTGGTGGCCGAATGATCGCCGTCGAGGGCTGACACTTGCAATACCATCGAACCGTCGCGAATGTCTTCCGGTATTGATTTTGTGTACAAATTTTTGGTAAAGACCGGCGCAAAATCATTGCGATCGTAGACATAGACAATAAGCTGTGCGTCTGAATATAGATGAGGATCACCCAAATCAAAGGCCCGCACTGTTAGCGTGACATTTCGTGAATCGCCTAAAAGTGATCACAATTTATAGTTATTTGTTGTTTTATAAAATTAAAATCTTTACTAACTTTTTGGACCCGGAATTGACTCGAAATCGAGTGGTTCTCTAATACCCAATAGACCAGAACTTTCATCAATAGTAAAATTACTTGAGTATTGATTTAAAGTGTTTATATCGGGAGTGTTTGACAATATTTTGTATCTAATCTCTGAGTTCTTCGTTCCGATGGCGTCCTCATCAAAGGCAGTGATACGGATGGGCTGTTCAAAGGTATGGCTGTTCTCGTAAAGTCGGGCCTCGTATTTGTCGTGAAGAAACTTTGGCCGACAGTCGTTGACATCAGTTATATTAAGAACTAATTGAACAGTATTTCTATTTCCGGCGCCATTAGTATCGCGCGCCTCAACTATCAGGAAGTGTTGAGCCGAGAGCTCGCGATCAAACTTATGATCGGATGTCTGTACTCTAATCACACCAGAAATGGGGTCCAAACTCAATGCTGAAGACATTTCGCCTCTGATTTCTGTATACCGAATGCCTGCCGTCCCATAAATTCCAGAATCAATATCTCTGGCATTGATTTTGGCCACAGATGTGCCTATCATTGCGTTTTCACTGACGGACCCGTAATATAAGTCCTGATCAAAGTGTGGGATATTGTCGTTGACATCCTATTTGCAGATAAATCGTTAGAAATGGCACTAATATTAAAAATGCTGTAAATAAAAGATTACCTTAATATTGACAGTGATTTGTGTGGAACTACTTCTGGCACTAATGGGTGAACCCGTTTGTTCAGTGGCTCTAATTGTGAGCCGAATTTGTTTGATTTTTTCATAATCTAAACGAAGGGAATCTCTAACTCTCAACATAATGGACGCCTCATTCACGCCGTGAGTGGGCGTCACGTAAAACACATCTTCAAGTCCTTTATTGTCTGCGGACTGAATACTAACAACAAATGATCCGTTGTTTCCCTGATCGTAATCGTAGACCTGAGGCACAGCATCGGCCACAAAAGTGACCGGCATATCGTTGGGTGCGTTCTCTGCTATTTCTGCCACGTATTGATTGGCAGTAAATTTTGGGATCTCGTCGTTTACATCCTTCAAAATTATAGTCACTTCTGTGGTGACAGTCGGCGGAGGAAATATAGCGACAGTCACTTCTGTAGCTTCTATTTCAAGAATATAAGCGCCGGCCGTCTGACCACTCGTACTATTTATGGCACTCTCCCTATCGAGACGACCGGCAACTGACACAACGCCAGTGTTTTGATTTATTGTAAATAGTTTTTGATCGCCTTTTAGTATACGATAAGTGATGGCTTTGTTAACACCTCTGTCCCCATCAACGGCTGTCACCGTCAAAACCGGGGAACCGATGGCCAGATTTTCAGCAATTCTGGTAACTGATGGCACAAATGTAAAGACTGGCGGCTCATCCTCCGCGTCCTCTACTTGAATAACAAGAGCTGCGGTGGCTGTCAGGCGCTCGCCCTCAACAGCCCTGTCAATGGCCAACACTTTCAATTGATATATTGATTTTTTCTCGTAGTCTAAACTTGATGACAGACTAATGACTCCTTTTCCTATTTAACAATCAAAATATAATTAAAACGTAAACAAATGGCTAAAGTATTAAACTATTATTATTATTCTACTATCATATGAATTTCATTGATTTTACAATTTTTGATATTTTGACGAATTACTTATGAATTTAATTATTAAACTTTTGAATAATAGTTATTAAAAAGATTACATAATTGATTGACTAATTAATAATTTGTTATAAATTGAAAGCAATAGAAATTCAAACACAATAAATACCTTCAATTGTTTCAATTGAGAAAGTGGTTGATGTATGCGATGACTCTTGATTATCGTTATCCTAAAAAATTATATTAATTAAAATTCAAATGTTGCAAAACTATTTGAGTCAATAATTACTAACCATAAGTTCGTACAAAACTTGTCCAAACCTTCCCTCATCGGAATCAAAGGCTTCTATAGTTTCAATGATAACTCCAGGTTTGGACGTTTCAGACAATGAGAGAGCGGTTCTATAAGGCCTGAAGATCGGAGTGTTGTCATTGATGTCCTCCACAATTAAAAGAAGTGATTTTGTGATCTTTTTTATAAAACGAGTTATTTATTTTTAAAAAATAATTAATAAATTGTTTTTATAGTTTAAATGACAACAACTAACATAATTTCCTTTTCCAAGTTTGCCATCGGTTAGAGTTAAAACTAATGTATAAGAGTCTTGTATCTCGCGATCCAACTCTTTCTTGAGGTAGACTTTGGCCTCATTTGGCGGCACCGACTCTATGCGCAACAGATCGGAGCCAATTGTGCCCAAAACACCAAATCTAAGCTCATCTCCGTCGGGATCTTCACCATACAAATGGTAGATCTGTTTGTTAAGAGAGGATTCTCCCTCTTTCACGCGCACCACTATCTCTGACTGCAAGTCATCCAAGTCTTCAGATTTGAATCGGGGCGGAGTGTTGAGTGCGGCCCAAACACCTCCAACACTATCGTTCACCAAAACGCTAATCACAACTAAGATTATGACATCGAGTTTGTGGTAGTTTAACATTGCGTTCATTGTATTTCTGTCATACAATCTTCAATTATCTATCAATGCTTTCCTCATATTTTGTCATTCATTTAAATTCCTTTCAATACATTTTTTGTTAATTTGAAATATTCATTGGAATGTCTGAAAAGTAAAAATAGTTATGTTAAACTTAGTGTTAACTTGATTATAGCAATAAAATATTTAAATAATTAATTTCATTAATTTTAATTTTGACATTTTATTATATTGTTTTGATTAATTATCATTTAAATCATTTAAACCATTAAAATTGAATTTATTTATTTTCGACATAATATTCTGTTGTAAAAAGGGTGGAACTGTTAGAAGGTTTATAATTAAAATTATAGTAAAACTTTAATTTAGTGGTTATATTTGTGGTTAATTTTTCTGGAAATATTCTTATACTGTAATAGGACCTCTTCCAAGACATATAAAAACAACTGAAACACAAATTAAAAACATCCTAAATAATTATATTAAATTAATAATGCAATATTTGTTGTAATTAAAACAATCATATAATTGTAAATTATCATATTACAATTAGTGCAACATTTATAGAATATAGAGTTTAAGCATGTTATATTCATCTAGTCAATTTGAATGTTGCTTAAATCATTTTAGCCCAGTTAATTTTAATTAGCTTTACTAAAAATTGCTATATTCGGTTGGTTTGGAGTCGGGTAAACATGAAAGCTGTATGTATGCCATCACTGCCGACACTGACGCCCATTAGTATTGTTGCTAATATTGTGCTTACAATTCATTCATTCATTTCTCGTTTCAAAATAACCGGATTTCGGCGTAAAAAATATTAGACGATTGAATAATACATATCGTATA